GCCTTGGCCAGATGAAGACAGCCTTTCTCAGTGTCTCAATTCGTTCTAAATTAAGGAGTCATGTGGGAATTGGAAAAGATTGGAAATTCTGACTTGCTTTCCCAGGCTCTGAAAAAAACAGGAAGAGAAAAGTGAAAACAGTTACCACCCCTCCCACTCACTTCAGTTTCTCGCCTCGCTGGCCCCAGAGCAATTAGAAAAAGTCCGTTTACCTTCTGCGGGGGCGGCGAGGGGGCTGATCAGCCCAACCGAACAGATGGATTATAATTTTGTTTAACACGACCATCGCTGGTGCTTGCTGAATCTTTATTAAAAATTCGTATACATTTATAGCTCTTTCACGAGCACAAAGAACGGCAGTGTGCCACCGCACTTCCAAGGACGGCGTTACGCAGCTCATGGCGGGCGCCTCACCCTCCCACCCCGGTGTCGGGCACCGCCACTCCAGAACTCTGTATGTTATTCCCATGACTTTTCTGTTTTGTTTAGCTTTTTTAAGGAAAAAAGGGTCACACATTCATGCCTACACGTTTTATTGCTTTTGAGGAAATCTTTAGCTGAATATTACTTTTGTTATTTGCTTCCTGTGTATTTGTTTCGTGCTTTTTTCACTTAACAAATCACTGCGATTCATCCGTTTCATAGTTCACTAACTTTTCACTGCTCTGTATAAATATACCACATCCCACTGTGTAAATATGCCAGTTTATTCACCCTGTGCACGGTCATTGGAGCTTCCAGCTTTTTTTGCTGTTATAAACCTTTTGTGAATAATATTCCTGGGGCTGTCTCCTGCTGTACATGGATCCAGTTTTCTTGGGTTTGTACCTAAAAGTGATTTATGAGGGCATAGAAATTGTCAGTTTTCAAAATAATATTTTCTCACATCCTCCAAAATTGACCAGTATTTTAAAAGGTAACTTAATGAACACCTGTTTTAAACATAATTGATGTGTTTTAATCTACTATAATCATCACATTTTAAAAGATTTATTTATGCATACAAGAACTGGGGTACAGACCAGAGGTGCAGGGGGTGAGAGGATTCACCAGAGACAGAGTGGGGAGCAGAACAGAGAGAGCAATGGAAATACACTACTGAGGGGAGCAGCGGGCGGGTCACCTCCCTAAATCTATTCTAGGTGGGGATCAAACTTGTGCTGCAGTAGCTGCAGGTGGCTTCATAGCTGGGCTTTAACCTGCTGCACCACCAGGAAGGGCCCACAATCATCATTCTTAAAGTACAAATTATTCCTGTCTGTGGACAGTGTGAGGCTTTTCAAGTTGATTTTTCACTCCTTTTCACACAATTTCAGTAGGGTCGTGGGAATCAGATACCTTTGGTGAAGTCCTGGTTCTTTTTGGCGGGAAGTACATTTATTGACCAAGTGTACAGGAGGTAATCATTACTATCGGCCATTGTAGACTGTTTCAGTGAACAATTAGGACCTGTTTTTAAAGCGTGAAATGCATCAGGAATTCATACTGCTATCTCCCTTTAAAATTTAGGATTACAGAGTTTTCATTTAACGCATTCATCTTATATAATCCCCCATCAAAAAAAATCATTCTCTTTTTGCAGAAATAGAAGAATCATAGTTAAGTTCATATGATGACTCCAAGGATCCTAAGTGGCCAAAACAATCTCGGGAAACAGCAAAACAGAAGTCAGGCTTCCTCACTTCCAAAGCAACTCTAAGCCACGGTCCTCAAACAGTGTAGTCTGGCACAAAGACACACAGAGAACAAGGAAATACAACAGGGAGCCCCATTTCTTACTTCTCAAGAAACTTCCATGAAAGTCTCATTTTATTTTACTTGCTTTTTTGGTCACCTGCTATATTTAAGAAATTCCCATATGTATGGATGACTGATTCTTTTTTTTTTTTTTTAAAGATTTATTTATTTGTACATACAGAACTGGGGTACAGGCCAGAGACTCAGGGGCAGTGAGAGACTTCACCAGAGACAGAGTGGGGAGCAGAACAGGCAGATCAACGAAGTACACTGCTGAGGGGAGCAGCGGGGGGCCAGGAGAGGTCTGCCACGCCCTGTGGTCTCCTCCGGGACAGGCAGGGATCGAACTCATGCGGAAGCGGCTTTAGCTTCTCAGTGCTGTGTTTTAACCCGCTGCGCCACCAGGGAGGGCCCTGGATGACTGATTCTTACAAGAGGATGAAGACAACTTAATGAGGAAAGAACAGCATTTCCCCATTTCATTGGTGCTGGGAAAACTATCCATGTGAAAAGGACAGAATTGGACACTTCTTTATACTATATACATTAGCACAAAATGGGTGGAAGACCTGAATCAAAGAGCAAAAACTATAAAACTCAGAAGAAAACATAGAGGGAAGTTTCATGACTTTGAATTTGACAGGGATCTCTTAGGTAGGATATACAATCACAGGCAGCAAAAGAAAATAAATCAGACTTTATGAACATTCAAATTTCTTTGTGTCAAAGGACACTATTGACAGTAAAAAGCAATCCAAGGCCCTCCCTGGTGGTGCAAAGGGTTATGATGCAGCACTGCAAGCCAACATCAGCAGCTTCAGTGCGAGTTTGATCCCCGCCTGCCCCGGAGGTGACCACAGGGTGTGGCAGACCTCTCCTGACCGCCCACTGCTCCCCTCAGCAGTGTACTTTGTCCATCTGCCTGTTTTGCTCCCCGCTCTGTCTTTGGTGAATCCTCTTGCCACCCCCGCACGGGCGTGTACCCCAGTTCTGTATGTATACATAAATAAATAAATAAATCTTAAAAAGATGTATTTATGCACAGAAATATGCATAAAAATTATTTATGCACACAAGACTGGGTGTTTGAGAGGATTCACCAGAGACAGAGTGGGAAGCAGAACATGCAGATATACTGAAATCCACTGCTGAGGGAGCAGCAGGGAGACCAGAGCAGTCTGCTGCGCCCTGTGGGTCACTCCCTGGCCTGGGATTGAACTTGTGCTGCACACAGCCTCACAATGCTGCTTTACCCCCTGGCGCCACCATATTTAAAGAAAGCACTGGGGTGATCCTTCTGGCTTCTAAGGAGCGGATTTACTTCACACGTGTTCTGTCCTAGCCCCCAGCCCTGGGAAGCAGCCTGGCTGGCCTGTGTCCAGCCCTGTAACAACAGTTGATGTTTGGTGAGCACTGGCTGTGTGCCAGACGTAGAGCGAAATGCTATATGTACATCGTGTTCATTTGAATTATAAGGCTTCAGCCAGCGTGTGAGGCAGATGCTCCATTAGTGTATCCACGCTATAGATGGGGGACAGGTTCAGACACCCTGGGTCACATGCCTGAGGGAGGGCCAGGCTTCACACGCATTGGGGGGCTGAGAACAAGGGTGCGTGGGGCAGCCATGGCATCTGAGGGGCGAGGCTGTTGCACGGAAAGGTTAAAACCTCACTCACAGTCACCTCCAAGGTGACCCCGGGCGGCGTGGCTAGGACCCTCTGGCCACCAGCAAAGCATCTTCCCTGGGATCCTCCAGGCCCCACTGGCTCCCCGTGGATGGCACACGCTCAGCGGCACCGGTTTTCCCAGGCTTTTGCTGCTGTCGGTCAAAATCCGTCTCCCTTGGCGGCTATGAGTCGGTTGTCTTTCTGCCTTTGGGGCTTAGAAGACAGCACTGCTTCCCACCCACGGGAGTCCCTAAGTCTCACCCACACAAGCAGCACATTCCCTGCGTGCCCACGTGTGCCCAGCACAGAGCAGCGGACAAGACAAAGCCTGGTGGTTGACGTTGCCAGGGAGGCGGTCAGTTCCGTGCTGACTGGGCCCCTTCCCTGTCGCCTCTAAGCATTCTGGGTCAGTCCAGATTCCAGACCCTTGGAAGTGTGGCCCTGGGCTGGGGGCTGGCTGTGATGGCCTCACTCGATGCCTGGATTTCCTGGAGCTTTGGTGTGGACACAGCGTCAGGGCGACCTCAGAGTCTCAGTGGGGCCAACTCCTGGCCCAGAGATGAAGAAAACCCTGCCTCCCGCCCCAGGGACCCTTGTCCAGCCACTCCTGACTGCCGCGGGAACCTGGCACTCGTGACTCAACTCACCTTCTTCCTCCCTGAGTGGCGCCTATTCTCGCTGCCTGCCCCAGTGCGCCCTGCACCCCATCTTCTGGCACTTCTGCTTCTAAAGCCACACTCCAGTCCAGCCAAGTGTCACTGTCCCTCCCTCAGAGCTTCACCTTCCTCCTCACCTCCCAGCCAGGCTCTGATGGATGTGTTTGGAATTCAAGATAGTAGACAGCACTTGTGGGTGAGCACCCCCACAACCCCCCCCACACACTTCCTTTTAGCCTGTGACCCTCCCTGTGGAGTCACTCAAGACACAATGGAACAAAGACAACCCAGGCTGGTCTCAGCCATAAACGATTGCCTTGGGAGAAGATGGAGCCTTCCACAGAGCACCACCGAGGGGCTTCAGAGAGGAGAGCTGACTGCAGAGGTTTTATAAGAGGCAGAGACTTGGGGCATCTCCCGCAGGCCCCCCACCTCATTTCCAAAGGGCCTTGATTTTGTAGACTCGAAGAGCCCAGCCTGTGAGTGTTTCAGGGTCAGGCCTGCCCAGCGTCTGGCCAGAGGGCATGAGGGGTGGTGGGAGGGGCCTCTCAGGGCCCTGGGCACAGGCGGGCCAGGTGCTGGGAGGGCCAGGAGAAAACCCAGGGGCCCAGAGGGCTCCCCACAGGAACAGTAGGGACCAGGCACCCCCCAATAATATGGCCTAACCTAGAGGGGTGCTTGCTCCCCACAGTGCTCTTGAGTCTCTGACTCCAGGAGGGTCACAGGATAAAAGGAAGTGTGTGGCGGCCCTCCATGGTAGCTCAATAGATTAAAGCAAAGCACTGTGAAGCTCTCACAGCCCCTGCAGCGAGATCCCTGGCCAGGGAGGGACCCCCAGGGCGCAGCAGACCTCTCCAACCCGTCCACTGCTCCCCTTAGCAGTGTATTTCAGTCCATCTGCCTGTTCTGCTCCCCACTCTGTCTCTGAATCCTCTCACCTCCGCACCTCTGACCTGTACCCCAGTTCTGTGTGCATTAATAAATCTTTTTTAAAAAGATAAACAAAGAGGGCCCTCCCTGGTGGCGCAGCGGGTTAAAGCACAGCACTAAGAAGCTTAAGCCGCTTCCGCATGAGTTCGATCTCGCCTGCCCCAGAGGTGACCCCAGGGTGCGGCAGACCTCTCCTGACCGCCCGCTGCTCCCCTCAGCAGTGTACT